TTCGCTCACCATGTATAGTGTATTCACTCTTGGCATTGCCATGTGGTTGATTTATGGGTTACTGCTCAAAGCATGGCCTATTGTTTTTTCTAATGCTATCACCCTCGTTTTGGCATCTAGTATTTTGATAATGAAGATTATCTATAAAGATAAAAGATAAGTAGTTGATTACATGAAAAATCAAATCGTTAATAGCAATATGAATAGAAGAAACTTGCTTGCCTTATCAGCTGCTGCCCTGTGGCTGACAGCATGCGGGGGTGGTGGCGGGGGCGGCGGTACAGACGAGCCAGCCACTCCACACGCCACCAAACCCAATATCATTACAGTACTAGGCGATTCTTTGAGCACTGGCTATGGCATCAGCGTGGCTGGCACCTATTACCAGCAAGTAACTCCTGGCCAAATCTGGGTAGATCATATGATACGCAAAGTTGCGGGAGATGGCGTGGGTAGTGCGCAAGCGCCAGTAAATATTATCAACACCAGTTTGGGGGGAGAATTTACTTTGGGCGCTCTGGCGCGTTTGCCGGGAATATTGTCGCGCGACCGCCCTACCCATCTCCTGTTGGCAACAGGAACCAACGACGCTTGGTCAAATTTTCCTTTGCAAACCATCCAAAATAATCTAGCGACTATGGCCGCCCAAGTTAAGGCTGCGGGTGTGCGACTCTACATGCTCAATATTCGTTTTGGGGCTTTTGGCCCTGATTATGCAGCTGCTTATGGCAAGGTTTTTGAAGATGTTGCCAACGCTTATGGCGGCGTGTATGTGGATGTGACCGAAGGTGTGTATGGCAATGCGCAATATTACCAATTGAGCCCCCCGGCATCTCTACAAAGCAGCGATGGTGTGCATTTGAACGATGCCGCGCAACCACTAATGATGGCCAACGTATGGCGTAAACTCGCCCCGGGTATCATTTAGCACATAGTTCGAGAGTAGGACTTTTCCCGCTACAGCGTTTCTAACTCCTGCCAGCGCTCCAACGCTTGCAAAAGTGCCTCCTCAATTTGCTGACTTCGGGTGTGCAATTGCGCTGCACGCTCGGGTGCTTGCCGGTAAATGTCGCTATCAGCCAGCATGTTTTGAATCTGATTTTGTTCCGCCTCTAGTTCAGCAATATGCTCAGGCATATTGTCTAACTCGCGTTGCTCTTTGTAACTGAGTTTGCGTTTGGATCGGGCAGCTTGTTGGTCAAAACTGGGCTCAGAGCTAGCTGACTGCTTCGTATTTGCAGGATGTATGTCGGATTGAGCGCTTGTTTCTGATTTTTCAATATTTTGCGACAAAGCCGCCCTGCGCGCTGATTGCTCTAAGTAATCGCTCACCCCACCTTCATATTCCAGCCATACGCCTGCACCTTCAAAACAAAGGGTGCTGGTGCAAACATGGTCCATAAAGCTGCGGTCGTGGCTAACCAGAAAAACGGTGCCCTCGTAATCTAGCAACAGCTCTTCAAGCAGCTCCAAAGTATCAATATCCAAATCATTGGTGGGTTCATCCAGTACCAACACGTTGGCAGGCCTGGCAAATAAGCGCGCCAGCAAAAGGCGATTGCGCTCGCCACCAGAGAGCGTGCGCACAGGCGCATGCGCCCGCGCAGGGCTAAAAAGAAAATCGCCCAAATACGACATTACGTGCTTACGCTGCTTGCCAATTTCTATC